TCTGCCCTGCGCTCCAAGCCTGGGCGAGCCAGGAGCTAGCCCAGGAACACGCGATCCTGAAGGAGAGGGGGAAGGCACGAGAAGAACGCGCCGCCGCTCAGGCTGCTGCCAATGCCAAGTCGAAGGCCAAGGGCGGCAAGGATGGCGGCGGCGATGATGGCTAGGCTGGGGGCCGGCGGAGAGGACATGGCCGCCCCCGCCGGACATTTCAGGCCCCCGCCTGGGCTTCGCCACCCCGGTGCTGCTTTTGCCGGTGATGTACTTCGTTCCCGTTGGGCTCGACTTCGACCCTCGGCAGCGCGACCTGTTCCCGCTGCCGCCGCTGATGCTTCGCTGCCGCGCTGGGGGCCTTGGGCTTGGGCGCAGCCGCGCCTTCGACAGGCGGCGCCAGGGGAGCATTCAGATTCTCGATTGGGCCGGCAGCTGCATTGATTCGCTGAACTCGGCCTACTGGTTCGCCGAGTCGGAGCAGCCCCCGCATACCGCCAACTCTGGGCAGCGGGCCGCTCTCGCCCATATCGAGTCCGAGTTCTTGCAAGTGGGGCCTCCACCTGAGGAGACACCTGGCGTCGCGGGAGCCCTCGACGAGCTCTGCGCCGCTGGCGGCCCGTGCCGCACGGAGCCCTCCAGCACTCGGCCCCATGCCAAGGGAAACGTCTCCCTGCCCGCCGCTGGCAAGCCTGTTCCTCTGATGGATATGCTGGCCGCGGGCGACAGGAAGTGGCTGGTTCCTGCATGTGGCAATCTGCTCAGACCTGCGAGTGAGGCAGCTGCCCTGGTTGCTGAAGCCAGCCTACGAGGCCACAACACTGACGGGGCGCTGACCGGCAAGCATTTCTGTTACGCCGACTTTTTAAACGCACTCGCTCGGAGGAGCATGATCTCGCTTCGGCGCTCCTTCGAAACTCGCGCCAGGGTGGGCATCTTCTTCGCTGCTAAGATGTCTGGGGCACTTAGACTACTCTTCGACCCGAGACAAGTGTTTTTTTCGGGATTCATTTTCTACGAGACTCCCCGCCTCGGCCGCATTGAGCTCTGTCGAGCCTGGCTCGGGGGGCTCGGGGGGCGATGTCGACAACTGGTTTTATCGCTTAGGCTTGCCTGAGGAGCTGTCCGAGTATTTCCCCAATCAGAGCTTGCCTCTGTAGGGGTCCTAGCGGATTCATATGATTAGTTCAGGTTTGCCGCCGATTTTCGCCGCGCGCCCGGGTGCCCGGGTGACCCGGGGTGCCCGGGTGCCTGGGTGCCCGGGTGCCTGGGTGCCGTGGCGCCCGGGTGCCCGGGCGCCTGGGTGCCCGTGCGCCCGGGAACCTGGGTGCCCAGGTGCCCGGGTGCCCAGGTGCCCGGTAGCTCTATATAGCTTTATAGCCTTGTAGCCCTATAGCCCGGATAGCCCTATAGTCTTATAGCCCTACAGCCCTACAGCCCTACAGCCTCATAACCCTATAGCCCAATAGCCCTATGGCCCTGTAGCCCTATAGCCTTATAGCCCCATAGCCCTAAAGCTTTTCAAAAGATTATGATTGGGTTTTTCTCTGGTATCATTCCCGCTACCTTACTGTTGCTGGCTATATTGTGCCCGCGTCTTGCGAGGGTCGTCCCGTGGGGGCTTCGGAGTCTATCACACCCGTTCGCACCGTTTTCCTCATGGGGCGGTCATGGGCTATGCTCCTGGTACAGGCGGTCCTCGACGGGGGGCCCGGCAAGGTCCTCGGGGGCGAGAACGCGTGCGTCGTGGCGGGGTACGTTGATAACTTCTCCGTGCTCAGTCGCTCGGCGTCGCAGTCCCAGGCGGGCCGGGGTGCGCTCGCCAAACGCCGATTGGTCTTGGGGCTTCAGGTACACGAGACGACCGACGCTTACCATGACGCCGAATTTCTGGGCGTGGAGCTCGTGAATGGTCGGGCGCTGTCGGTTCTTCGTCGTGCTATTCGGCGTCTCAGGCGGGCGTTCGACATGCCAGCGGTAAGTTGATGGAGATAAAACTTGGGCACATCATGCGGGCGGGTCTGATCCGACGGGGATGCCTGGCACTCTTTTCAGATGTGTGCGCTTTCCAGCACGTGGCTGGGCGTGAGCCGACACGTCTGGCCTGGCGGTCCCAGGGAGCTCGCGTGGATTCGTGGCGTGCTCCTGATTCTGGCGTCAGATCTGCTGTTGCTTCCGAGCATGGAATTGGAGTCATTTCGCGCATGCTGGACCCTGAGACGGTAGGTTGGAGTGGTCGTTGTGGTGAAAAGTGGCGCTTCAGAGTGGAGGGCTGCGCGAACGCCAGGCAGTCTGCCCTGCATGGTCACGCCGCCCGTCGGTCTGCGCCAAGCCCCCGCGACCTCGACAATCCCGATGTAATCCCGTACTGCGACGATAACCCAGAGTCTAACCTAGTGTGCGGCGATGTTCAGGTCTTCTCGGATCCAGGTTACATCTTGCAGTGGGCCCGGGCTTTCAATGAGGTCCCCAGGTCTTCGAGGAGGAGTCTTGGTCGACTAGATTGGCGGCT